GGCGCACCAGCCCTGCCGGTGTTTCTGACAGGCGGGCAGGCCCATGAGCTGAGGCCCGACGACCAGAACCGCCTGCTGTCCAGCCCAGAGCCCAGGACAGAGCTGTGGTGCTCACGGCTGGTGCGGCCAGCGCCTCCTGAGCTCAATCAAGCCCAGAGGACCCAGCAGAGGACAGGACTATCCTGGGGTGCGAAGGCCAGGGTTAGGGTTAGGGTTAGGGGAAATTTGCCTGAGTGTCTCTGTGGCCCCTGCCCCCCTGCTGTGGCTCCCTGCCCTTCGAGGCCTGGCCAGAAGCACCCGCCCCCCCGCCCAGCTTGCCCCCGCCTCAGCAGGGCGCACCGGGAAGTGAGGTGCCAACCCACACAACGGCCCACGGCCCCTCAGGGCTTGTGCACGGTTCACGGACGGTCAGCAGCTGGAGTGGGGAGTGGGGTGGGGGGTTCTGGCCAGGACGGCCACCTCATCCCTCGAGAGGCTCTTCTGATCAGACACCACCAGGGTGGGGTGACCCACAGAGCAGAGGAGGCGCTCCGGGGCGCTGCCGCGTGGCAAGGTCACAACAGCCAGGGAGGCCGAGACGGTGAAGACACCAGGCAGGATGTCACGGGAGAGGGAGCCCGGGCTCGCCGCCTCCTCCCTGGCCCCCCACCCACGGGGCCAGCCAGGCAGCAGCCCCCCTGACGGGCTGAGGGAGGGCTCCTCCAGTTCCTCCAAAGACCTCAAAACCTCACAGGCAAGTCTCAGGTGCCGTCAGACCCAGCCAGCTCCACAGCGCCCTCTGGTGCCGACCACCAGTGTCCCGGTCACAACTTTACAAAAATCATCAAAACCCACGCTTTGCTCCTTCTCTTGAACACCACTCGAGAACAATCAGATGTCATTTTGTCCCTTTTATCATGTCTGATTTTTGCCATTTGGGGGATTTCAAAGAGAACTACAGTAACAAACCACATCATCTCCAAAACGTTATCTTATATTCGAGAGGACAGCACGCTTTTCTGGCATTCAGAAACCTGCTTCCAGTTTAAAGAATTTCTATAGAGGGAAAATGAGTGGCTCTGCACCCAGAAGCCTGGACGCTTCCGTAAAGGTTGATCACGGGTCCAAACACTACCGCTCTGCTCTCACCTCCTTCTCCTTCCTCGGAGGGAGCGGAGTCCCTTATGTTAAAAGGAACTATAAGAAAAAATCCTAAACCAGTGTGTAAGTGGTCTATTATCAATATCTCTTCAAAATACATGTAATCAAAAACAACCACAGGATTCCAAGTTGGTCCCAAAGGAGGGCCGAGCCACTGCCCAAAACCCGGCAGGCACGCGGCAGGGTCCCGGGGGCCTACCTCCTCGGTTCCAGGCCTTCAAGCTCCCGCTCGGAGAACTTCCTGCACACGGCCGCTCCGCATCCAACAGCAGGTGTCCCACTTGCAAAACCACCTGGTCAACAAAGTCTCGAGGGAGGGCAGCGCAATTCCTCACGCGCTCGGCTTTTTCTCTAGGGTGAAATCCAGACAGCCAGAGTCCGGCGGCCCGGGCCTCCGCCCCCTCCTCGGCGGCCCCGGCGTCCAGGGCCTGGCGCCCGTGGGGGCGACCCGCACGTGCCACGGCGGCCCGGGGAGGAGGATGGGGAGGCTCCCGGCCGGGCGGGCTCACGGGGCGGCCCTGCCTGCTATTAATGTACTGGGTTCTCTGCTCATCCATGAGGGCTTCTCCGGTGGGGGGGTATGTTCTGCGTTTCCCAATGAGACAAACCTGCATGTGAAAAAAGCAGAGTGTTTTACCAGGATCCCGTGGCAAGTCACGTTTTCCATTCGCGTCTCTCGTTCTGCGGTACAAATTACGTTCAAATTTTAGAGGCTTATCGTGAAAGAAATGCTTACTTTAAAAGCCAATACCAATACCAGTGTCCCAAATAAACCAAGAGCCAAAGCCCACGAAGAGTCTCGCGGCTCGGACACTCAGAGACCTACGAGACACGTACGAGTCCACGCGCACCGAGCTCACAGCCGTGCCTGTTCTGAACACATCGCTCGTGGGAGCCTTCATCCGGCGCCCCCTCCCTCAGGTGCAGACACGGACGGCACCCAGAGCTCTCAAAACGGGACGTCCCTCTGTCGACCTTGCCAGAGGGGAGGCAGCACTTGGCACGGCACGGATGTCCGTTCCGTGCACTGTCCTTCCTGCACGTCCACACAGGATGATGACGGCTGCCCGCGCACTGGAGCCCCCAGGCAAGGACGCCGCCCTGAGCACGGCATCTCTGGACTTCCTCCTGGCCACGAACCACACAGCCAGCTTACGGGCAACGAAAGACAGCGAATCTAACTACACGAGAGCCGCCCCTGACTGCTCTCCGGCTCTGCCACCTGCCAGAGGCGTGATCCGGGGCCCGTTCCCTGACGTGCCGGGCAGGACCAGTCCTCACCAAAGAGCTGCCACCTGTGGACACCTGCTCTTGTGTTTGCCCCCAGAGCCACAGGGTGACGAGAAAGCTGAGGCTCAGAGAGATTAAGGACCGGTGCGTGGTCTCCAGCAACTAGTACTGGAAAGACCAGTGCAAACACCCACCCGCGTGACCCAAATTCGAGCAGTTGGCAGAATCGATCCCAGCCTCAGCAGGGCGGTTTGCCAAGGCAGAGGGCATTTAGGAGAAGGACATCGTGGCTCTGAAGCAGGGTCCCCAAGAACGCTCTCACGGTGACGTGAGCAGTGGCAGCATCGGCAGCAATGATGTACCTGCGGCCATCGTGGGCCCCTCTCGGCCACCACAGAGCCCTTAGATGAAGGCACCGTTCTATCTAGTCTGTGAGACGAGCCCAGGAGGGCCCCCCTCCCCCCGGACAGACAGACGAGAGCACGGATGCAGTGTACAATGTGCCCCGGAGTTCATGGCCAGGTGGTGCCAGGGCCGAGAGTTCACCTAAACCTGCCCTGGATCCTTTGTGCCACATCGAGCGATCAAACTCACGATTTGGATATGACGGGTTTCTGTGCTTTGCTGATGGTAAGAAGCCTGACAGCCACAGAGTCTGATAAGAGGAAGCTACTGACATGAACACAGGCTGACGGTGGCACCTCCCTCGACTTCTCCAGGGGACTGGCCTGCTGGCAGGGTCACAGGGGGCACGTGTGCTGCGGTCACAGACTGTGGCAGGGGCGGCGTCTGCCTGGGCAAATCGCATCGCAGGTACGTCGGAATTACTGAAGCGTGGAACGAGACATTGAACCGCTCTGAACCTGGAACCAAACTTCAGGTTCGCCCGTGACTGGGAAACCCGAGGACCCCGGAGGTGGTGGGCAGCCTCGGACAAACTAGCTTAGGACGTTCCACACGAGTCCAGCCGATGCCCACTCTGGGAAGGTCCCCTAGGGCCACTCACGGTTTCTGGGAAGGAAATGAGGATTCGGTGAGGGCTCCCTGCAGCGCTGCTGCGGGCCTGGGGAAGGAACTGCCAGAAGGCCTTCAAAGCGGGGGTCACGGTGACAGAGCGAGCCCTCTGACCCCCACCAGCGTCCGAGATGCCGGAATCGGCACAGGCTTTCAAACATCACGGGGTCCCCTGTGGCTCTGCGACACGGCCCCGGACCCTCCCCCCAGAGGCCAACGCCGCACCGAGGCCACCGAGGACGCCCCAAGCAGTCAGGACGCACCCTTTTGGTGGAGGGAATGCGCAGGCAGTCCTCCTGGACGTGGAACCCGCAGGCCAGCCCCACCTCAGTCACGAAATCGAGATACTCTCGGTACTGAGTCTTCCTGCTCTGCCTCCGGGCGTATTTCCCCACGAAGTCAAAGAAGCAGCAGGGAAGGACAAAGAAACGGCAGCTGTAATTAGACCTTCAAAAACAATCCCCAAAACAAAAACACTCAGCACAGAGCCACGTGGCCATCGTGCACCGCGGTAAAGCAGAGGCATCTGCTTCCCCTGGCTGTTCTGGAGCAGAGCCCGAGCTCGAGCTGTCCCTCGCTCTGCTCCCAGAGACGACGCGGCGTGGTCTATGCCTCCTACGGACCAGGAGCCTAACTGTCTGTACAAAGTGCGTTCCACTGCGTTGTTCTTACTGACTTGAAATGTAAAACTTCCCAAAGTGTTTTGGGATTTCGGCCGGGAGCGAGATCTCAGAGGCGGGCACGAGAAAGATTACGTTAAGACTTGCTCCGTGAGCTACACTGCTCCTCGAGAGCTGAAACAGTTCACGAGACGCCTGGATCAGGAGCCACGGCAACAAAATACCCGGGCCGCCACCATAAGCTGCGTGTTCACAAGGTCCCCGCCGACCCAGAGGCACGGCCACGGGCGCAGCCCCCCTCTCTGAACATCAGTACTGCTGTGAGGCGTCTCTGTGTTGGCAGATTTTCCCTCTGGAGACACTCACTCCTGTTATCAGAAAATAACTTCCAAAACATGACCTGTCTCCCTGGACAGAAATACTGCAGAAATGGTCAGCTTTCATCAGCACTATTCAGATGTACTTTGATGTCTTCTAGCCATATCTCAAACAGTAAAATAAAGCAGTCAGATGAGGCGCCTGGGTGGCTCAGTCGGTTGTCCAACTTCAGCTCAGGTCATGATCTCACAGTTTGTGAGTTCGAGCCCCGCGTCGGGCTCTGTGCTGCCAGCTCGGAGCCTGGAGCCGGCTTCGGATTCTGTGTCTCCCCCTCTCCCTCTGACCCTCCCTGGCTCACGCTCTCTCTGTCTCTCTCTCAAAAATAAACGTTTAAAATTTTTTTTTAAGAAGCAGTCAGAATCTAAGCCTAAACCAGCACGTTCGGCACGTTCTCATCCCCACAGTCCGAACGAGCTCCGTCTCCAGTGCTCCACAGCCGCAAGTGGCTACTTCTGGACAGCGAGGTTTAGGCAACAAAATCCCTCCCGCCGCCCGCCCTGCTGTGCGGGACACTTACTCACCTGGCTGCGATCACAGGTATCCACGGTGTCAGTTCATCGGAATGGTTACCAATTAGCCAGTCAACGTCAGGGAAAAGGGTCTCATCGCTGGGTGTGATTGCACCTTCCTAAAAGAAAAACACAAGATAAGACCACTGTTTAGTAGAGCAGCACAGAGCTACTGAGGCAAAGGCCCCAAGGAACCGCAGCTTGCTTGGGGTGACCTCAGCCCCTCGGGGCCCCATGGGTACAGGCGTTCCCCTGAGCACAGGGCCCGCGTCTGCCCAGGGGGCATGAAACACAGCAACTTACAGCATCATCACTAGAGAAACTAAAAACGCTGATTACTAATCTTTTGGATCCTTAACAATGTGGGTGGCTCAGTCGGTGAGGCGTCCGACTCTTGATCTCAGCCCGGGTCATGATCTCAAGGTTCGTGATACACAGCCTCGAGCCGGGCTCTGTGCTGACAGCGCAGGGCCTGCTGGGGATTCTCTCTCTCCTTCTGCCCCTCCTCTGTTCTCTTTCAAAATAAATAAGCAAACTTAAAAAAAAAAGAGTGCTTCTCTACACGAACATACACTGGAGCTACAGGAGAGGGGACACAGGAACTGTCTCCACGTGGGCAGAATACGGGGGCAAGAAAGTGGAAGCAAGTTGGCCTGAAGTTGATTTGCTGAGAACCACAACACATCCTACAACCTCCAGACCCGTGAAAAGTGAGGGGCGAGGCCAGAGAAACTGCCAGAGTTTACGTAGAAACAACAAATATGCTGCCATCACGTGATTATCTTTTATAAACACTCAGGGGCCAAGTAAAATCCCACTGAGGAGGCGTGTTAACCGTTCTGATAACCTCTGTAATCAGGCTGAAAACAGCTTCGTTTTGTGATTTAAGAACTTTACATAAACACCCTATTCTTTCTGCTAATTGGCAGACCATCACCCATGATTCAAGTCAGGGCCCAATAGCAGGTCTGTCGGTAAGAGCTGGAGACAAAAAAGATACACGCGACCACTCAAAATCCTCCTTGTTTTAAGACTGAAGAACGAGGGGCGCCTGGGTGGCGCAGTCGGTTAAGCGTCCGACTTCAGCCAGGTCACGATCTCGCGGTCCGTGGGTTCGAGCCCCGCGTCAGGCTCTGGGCTGATGGCTCAGAGCCTGGAGCCTGTTTCCGATTCTGTGTCTCCCTCTCTCTCTGCCCCTCCCCCGTTCATGCTCTGTCTCTCTCTGTCCCAAAAATGAATAAACGTTGAAAAAAAAATTAAAAAAAAAAAAAGACTGAAGAACGACCCCCCAAGGGAAGTAGGCACACCTGGCTACCCCCGGCCAGAACAAAGCGGGAAGACGTTAGGACAACACTCCCGTCCAAGGCCGTTCCTTACGACAACAGAACCACGTGCCTTTTGCAGACGTGATGTATACAAAAGTAGAATTTGGATTCTACGATCTTTCTGGTTCTTAAATTCAGCATCTGTGCTTCTATTTACACACATGTTAAAATCCGTGTATTTCTGTTTAAATGGCCTGCATTAACAAACACGTGGTTTACAGTTCACGACCGCCATCATCACAGTTACAGCCACTGGCCAACGGCACGTCAGACGAGGCCGGTTTCACCAACATCTTGAACACAGCACATTTTAGCAGTTCCCCTTCCTATACAGCATCATAACACAATTAAGACGTTTTGTGATCCATGCAACATGTTATTTAAAACAGGTGTTTTGGGGCGCCTGGGTGGCTCAGTCAGCCCAGGTCATGATCTCGCGGTCCGTGAGTTCGAGCCCCGCGTCGGGCTCTGTGCCGACAGCTCGGAGCCTGGAGCCTGCTTCGGATTCCCTGTCTCCCTCTCTCTTTCTGCCCCTCCTTCGCTTATGCCGTGTCTGTCTGTCTCTCTCTCTCTCTCTCTCAAAAATAAATGAACATTAAAAAAACTTCTTTAAACTAGTGTTTTTTTCTTAACAGTCTCTTGCTTACAATCAAATAGGGTTTTTGGAAGAACCTGTAAACTCATGCTCAGCCATTGTACAGACTGTCCCTGTTCGTGGCAACGACTCACACACCAGGACATATACACAAACACTCATACGCACCAACAAAAGCACACTCATTTCTGGCTGTGTTCCCCTGCAGCAGGTGTAACAGAAACGTGGTCAGCATCCAGCCTCACGCTGAACATGAGAACAGGCAGGACTCAACACCACGACTGAAGGTCCAGGAGTAATAAGAAGATCCACATGAGATTAGAACCCAGAACCTTCTGAGCAGGCCTGGAATGAGGGGGCTGGGGCAGTTTCCCCCTCCACAGAAAAGTCGGGGTGCTGGGGAACCTCAAATAAAGAACTAGAACCTTCTCCCCGTTCTCCAAGGGGCACGTCATGCCAGCCAGCTCTGTCCTAGGGTCACGACTAAACAGAGGGCCTGTTCAACTGCTGTTTGAACTTCTTACCCAAAGAAATTATTCTGCTTTTTCACAGAACACAGGGACACAGGGAATTCTGAAACCAACCACGTAACTCCTGGGACTCTGCTCATCGGCCTCGCACTAAACCCAGAGCCTGACTGACCAGGTGACGCATGGTCTGTGTGCACCTGTCTGCACGTCTGCAGAGCCCCCCGAAGTCCGTCGCCCGGCTCCTCAACTTTCTTCAAACCTGGGGTTTTTCTCAACGTTTAACCTATTTTGATGTATGAATGTGTAAGCAAGTGCAAATTCTTACATTACAAAGCAAAACACAAACATACAAGGAAAACATGAGCAAAGCCTGCAATGAACCTCCCTCCGGAGGCTGATCTTTTTTATTTTTTGCAGTATTTTTTTCAATATTATTCTCAACTTTAAAAGTGAGGCAGAGAGAAAAATACAGAAATGGTGTCACTTTTATTTCCTATTTGTAGATGGAACGACAGAGCTGAGCCCTGCCTCGTGAGGGCAGCGGGGCCGCGGGAGGGCTGAGAGAGTACCTGCCGAGGCCGTGAGCTCTGGGGCGCCAGGCTCTTCTCCCGGAAATCAACACATGAAGAGTCCTGTCGGCGCTCTGCCCTCTGGGGAGGAGAACCTGTGTCCTGTCCCACCCTGCATTTAAGTCCAGGACAAAGGCCTTGAGGCAACCAGGGCAGCTGAGCAGAGCTGGGTGGCGGGGAGGAGCGAAGGGCGTGGACCCCACCGCTGAGCACCCCGCCGGCCGGCCAGCTCGGAGGCCTCGACCAGATGCCGACACCATCCGCACCTGACGTGGGAATGCTGAGGGGGCCGGTCACTTTCCCCCTTGGGACACATTCTGATCGGTAGCAGGGCGAGGGAGCTACTCCAGAGCAAGGCGGGAGTGACCCGGGTTCACCCTGGCCCCACAGGCATGGGCTCAGAGCAGATGTGCCGCCCCTGTCCGCGGCCCCCCAGCCGGCTGCATTTGACCTTCTCTCCCCGGACTTCTCACCACCAGCCCTCCTGCAGGGCGGCCCTCCTGGGGCCACCACGCACACAGCAGGACCTGCCCCGCAGTGGCGCCCTCGTCCTCCCCACCCCGCTCAGGTCTTCAACCCTGCTCCACACGTCACAGCTGGCGCCCCGTACCCACGCTGTACCTGGGGGTGCCTCCCACCCCCGTGAGGGCAGCACGTGCATCAACACCTGAGAGTGCCCGGCAGGAAAGCGGCACTCAAATATTTGGTAAATAGCAAATCTCTAGCTTTTCCTGTTTTCCTGAATGCGTATCTTACGGCACGCGAAATTCTTCCTGAAATGAAAGCGTTTGAAAGAAAACCTTTCTGAAAACCAACATGACAGTATCATTAAAAACGTTTTAGGGGTGCCTGGGTGGCTCCGTCGGTTGGGCGTCCGACTTCGGCTCAGGCCACGATCTCGCGGTCCGTGAGTTCGAGCCCCGCGTCGGGCTCTGTGCCGACGGCTCGGAGCCTGGAGCCTGTTTCAGATTCTGTGTCTCCCTCTCTCTCTCTGCCCTTCCCCTGTTCGTGCTCTGTCTCTGTCTCAAAAATAAATAAATGTTAAAAAAAAAAAAAAAAGTTTTAAAGCTCAGCCTATGACAGATTTGTCTTAAGTGGATTAAGATTTATCACCTAAGGTTCCTGCACAAAGATTTACATAACGTAACTTGTCATCCAAAAACACAGTCGAGAACAGGAGGTAGGACAAACAGATATGCATGTGTCCTGCCCTGCGGGTGGCGGGGACAACAGGGGATGGACACCTGGCCCTGTGTGAGGACTGGGTAACACGCACCAGGCCCCTGGACACTCGGCAAAACAAGGGTCACCGGGGGACAACCTGCTGGGCTCAGGCAAGTGAACAAAGCCAGTACCTCTAAGCAAGTCTGCGGTCCATACACGTCCCAGATCTTTCTTCTTCGGACATCGATCCCTCTGCCTGGGTGCTGAAATAGTTTCAGAAATCAAAGGTTAACGGCAGCGCATTGTTACGAACTGGCGGGAACAGATCCGACTCTGCAGGTACTGCCACTGGCGTGAAGCACAAGAGACCCTCAACCTCCGCGGTGAAGGCGCCCGCGGTTTCTCGGCAATGCCAACAGACACTCGTGCCCCTCCAAGGCACAGGTTAAGAACCTGTGCCCTGGGGCGCCTGGGTGGCACAGTCGGTTAAGCGTCCGACTTCAGCCAGGTCACGATCTCGCGGTCTGTGAGTTCGAGCCCTGCATCAGGCTCTGGGCTGATGGCTCAGAGCCTGGAGCCTGTTTCCGATTCTACGTCTCCCTCTCTATCTGCCCCTCCCCCGTTCATGCTCTGTCTCTCTCTGTCCCAAAAATAAATAAACGTTGAAAAAAAAAAATTAAAAAAAAAAAAAAAAAAGAACCTGTGCCCTGCTAAGGGTCACCGGGAGTCGTCACGAAGGGGAAATGCAGTCAAGGAGCGGGCACGCGTCCGGGGCCAGGGCCCCAGAGTCAAGTGCGGACCCCAGCACGTCTGCCCCTCCAGTTTGCCAGCAGGCGAGGCTCGTTCTCCTCGGCTGCTCCTTACCAGGCACGCCGTGCCTGCGCCCACCGGCTCTCCAGGGCAACCGTGCTTCTTTCCAAGTCAGGTGGAGAAGGGGATGCACAAGGAACCCCGTCCTCCTCACCCACCAGCCTGCAGTCACCACCCGATGTGCCGACATCCCACAGACAACTTGGGCACAGCTGTTAGAATTACAAACTCATGGGGCGCCTGGGTGGCGCAGTCGGTTAAGCGTCCGACTTCAGCCAGGTCACGATCTCACGGTCCGTGAGTTCAAGCCCCGCGTCAGGCTCTGGGCTGATGGCCCGGAGCCTGGAGCCTGTTTCCGATTCTGTGTCTCCCTCTCTCTCTGCCCCTCCCCCGTTCATGCTCTGTCTCTCTCTGTCCCAAAAATAAATAAACGTTGAAAAAAAAAAATTAAAAAAAAAAAAAAAAAAGAA